GATCTTATGTCGAATGTTTAGTTATTTCTGCCAAACGAGGTTTTTAGATAGAACCGTTTTATTGGCCCGACGTTTCGACCTTCTCGTCTTCTTCAGAGGCCTGAAAATGGCTCGAAGCTTTCAATTTGTCACCTACCCGATCAAGCGCCTCCCCCACTCTAGCGTTTCCGACGTCGTGTTCCGAAACCCCCGAAGAACCCAGCAATAACCGCGCTCAACTCACCGAGGTTCCACCGTGCGGAGCCTAGCTCACGCTATGTGTCAGTAATGTAAGTAAGAGCGAATGAGTCTCACTAGAGTCTCATCGTGTCATATAAGCCACAATTGTTATTGTGCACGTCGCCCTTACTGTAGCTCGCACTCTGATACAAACGGCAAGAACTCATTAGTAATTGACGGACATTCGTTTCGGCCGTTCATCCTTGGTTTTCTCGCAAAGATATAAAACGATTCCAGGGCTTTCCTGGAAGAAATCTCTGTCTCGTACCCGAGTATAGTACAGCTCACATCGAAGTCATTCCCGTTATGCTCCTCAATCTTATGCTTGCCAAGAGGAGTGGTCATCATATCACGCCTCTTCCCAGCTAGGTGTTCCTTGACGCGAGTAGCTAAGTCCCTTCCTGTTTCCCCGATGTACGTGCTGTTACAAGCCCTGCATTCAAGTTGGTAAATTACCCCGGTTTTCTCACAATCTCCTACCCTTCCATATGGGCAAATAACGCAACCTGGTGTCATGCACTGCCTATCGTACAGTCTATTGCGAACAAGTTGGCGTTTGATGTTGCTATTGGGAATGCTCACCAAGACAACATCATCCTGCAACTGTGCTCTCACAATACTGCGACGGCTGACGGGTGTATTTCCCGAGAGCTGACTGATGTCATCGGAAACTAAAGAGCGGCACGCGGCTATCGAAGCGCTCACGGCCGCCGCCATACAGCAGGTAGCTTTTCCTGTGGCGAACTGTGTCCGATGCATCGTCTGTCGAAGGCTGGCATTCGATGCTCTACGATATGCTCGTACCGCATAACCATTTTCTCCAGCAACTTTCGAAGCTAGAGCTCTCGATTCCTGTCGTTCTTCCTCGCCTGTGCACATCCTGGTTGCAGTGTTTTTTGCGGGCGGACGCGCCTCGTGCAACCCTGACAGTCCACATCGCACGTGAGACTCTCCAGAGTGCTAATCCTCACCGCTCGCTAGACTCAGCACCCGGTCTCTTAACGCACGCACCAGGAGTGGGTGCAAAAGACTGTTGCGTCGTGGAATCAGGATAGTTCTTGCAGCCTTTCGGCTCTCTGACCGAATTTCCGCCATGCCGAATGCGCACGCGTCAAAGCGGCGCCACTCAGGCGTGCCCAGCTTTACCTTGTCGGGCTCTTTGTGTCCCCGATATGCTTGGACACTTGCTCTCTCACTACCTGTGTGGGACACCTGGCAGAATACTGGAGACCGCCGTGTGTGCGTGCTATTACTTAACCTCGCGGAGCCGTGTCCTTAGTTGCACGCTACTCGATATTCCCGCAATCAAAAGCACCCCGCCCTGTGAACATGATCCTCGCGGTCTCTCTCGGAGAATCATGCGCGCATTCGTCGTACACTCTGACTTGCGTCCAAACTGCTGCGAGAGTCGGCTGATATAGATATAGAACACGTGGCTCTCCGCCGGCTTGATCGGACTCGCGAGAAAACGTATTGACACGCCGAGACTAGTGTACCATCTCGGCGCCGGGCTTCAGCACCCTAAGTCGCATACCTTCGTAGGATAATTTCCGGCACCATCCTGCGCTAGTGAGGTATATAGAGCCGCGGGGTCGTTGGTCGGCGCGGGGCCGCTGGCCGCCCTGGCGGCTGCGAGTGTTGGTACTGTTGCTTTTGCTTTTCTGCCCAGTTTATCTCTTAGTGAAGAAGACATAGCACATAAGGGAATTCACCAGTTTGAAATTTCGTAAAAAAAGAGAAGAAAAAAGGAAAGAGGAAGTCTCCGCGGCTGACAGATGTCCTAAGACCGAATGTGGCACTCGAATTTGGCGCCAATTTTTAGGCCGTAATAAAAAGCACTATAGAACTTGTGTGTAGGGGTTATTAACATTCCTAAACATGGGTATAGCATTAACTCGTGGGGCCTGGAACATTGCCATGACCAACCTCCCCATTAATTTTGTAATAAACGTATGTGTAAAAGTTTTTAATACCCCAATCAATAATCGAACTAGCGGTCGCGGCCGGTGCGGAGATCCTTCTATAGCACAACAGCGGCGAAAAAAAACTAAACATTTCGGGTTGTAACAGTATAATAATTGTGACGAATTTTTTTATGACCGTGAAAATACGATTTTTCAGGAAGAAAAGGGGCAATCACTTGACCAGGAATGAAAGAAACAGTGAAAGTCGAAGATTATAGGGAAATCAAAGGCAAAGCATGGACCAGGGACGTGATAGAGCTCCAAGAAGTCCAGGTGAAATAAGCAGAAGTTCCGGGAAGTGGCTGAGCACGAATCGCGGCAGAACCGCCTGGGTCGACTCAATATTGCACAACGCTGCCACTACTGTACCCCAAAACTCCTGCCCTTTCCCTGTGTTGCCCTTCCCTTGTCGTCCTTTCATTATCTTCCGTTGATTGTGGCAATGATTGGGTAGATTTGCTTATTCCTTGAGTGTCACTTCACTTCAAACTCTCTCGATTACTCTCATTATGTTCACTTCATTGCTAGTCCGACGAGCTACTTGTGCTCGTTGCTACTCGTTACCGTCTAGTTCAAAAAGGTTAGTTCTCTTCAAAAAGTTTTCTTTCTCGTTTGTGTACATGATAAAATTTTCAATTTGGTTGGGATTTGGCTAAGTACAGGGGGGGGGGTGTTTTGTGAACTTCTGCCAGCATATCGGAAAGTTCTGTTAACTCCTGTAAACACCTGTCAGGCTACGAAATGATAAGAGTTTGGTCCAAAATCGGGTATTTTCTAATTATGAGTCAGAGGATCCAACTGCATATTTTTCATTTTAGCCGTTCAAGATTAGAATATTGATCCGGTTAAGAGTGCACTCATACTTTGCAGCAGTGTTTTGGGCGTCAGTGTTTCGTGCGTCCACCAGCGTTTTGAGCGGATAAGAATGTATGAATATCGATTACTTCCAAAAACTTTGGATACCTATGCTTTTGCCTATAGCCCACTAGAAACCGCGCAAAAGGACTCGACAGAACAGTCAAAAACGCTGAACACAGAGTATAGAAGCATTAACTCTGACGGACTTCCGGCTTCCGGTTCGGCTTTCTTTTGAGGGCGCAATTAGGCCCGTTAAGAGGCCTTCAGCGCTGAAGATAATCCTGAGCCGCGCTTATGGACAGAAGTACTCATCGGATGATATGAGATAGGCGGCTGTAAAGACCACTCTGAACCCTCAGCCAAATTCCGCCCCATCTGTTTTCCGCAAAAAACGTGTGGCCGAAGATGGGAAAAAACCGACAAAACGCTAACATGGGAGAAAGGCGTGTAAGATTCTCTTACAAAAGGGAGGTGTCACCACACTTACCAGGCGACAGGAAAGGTGACGTTCGGTACTTCTGCAGGCTAAGGGCTTAGAGCGTACGCCAGTAGTTTTGAGCAAGGAAAAGTAGAGGACCACCGATCCTCCACAAACACACACGCCGTTTTTGAGCGTGATTTGAGGGTAGATTTGAGGGGATTTGAGGTCGGAATTTTTCGCGGGCAGTCGCTCGAGAAGCCATCGTGCGCTCAAAACGCTAGATCGATATCTATACTTTCGCGGTCACTCAAATGCTGCCCCTCGCTGATATACGCTGACTTGCGCTCAGTACGCTAAGTCGCAAAGTGTGAACGCAGTCTAGTCCACGATTTTCTATAAACGCATGAGATAGCACTATTCGTGGTCAGTCGTTTGATATAGAGAACTAGTTTGTGCTAGGGGAAGCTTTTTTCTTGTGAGGCCGTGGAGGAAATAGCTCTTGGTCACGTAAGCCGCTCTACAAGAAACGCAAAAACCCCTTTGCACCAGCGATTACTCTAACCACTTTGTACAAGCAATTACTCTATCCATTCGAGAGCCACTTTGCGCTAGGTCTAGGCAAAAATCCACGTACCGTAGCTGCCGTTCAACTACGAGAGACTTTTAGGTATGAGTTAGAGAAATCGTAATGTTTCGCAGCTTCATAGGAGTTCAGGGACATCACAAAATTGCCTGAAACGTTGTCAGTAGTTTACGAGATGCCCCTTCTATCATCCCTCCTCGTGGACTTAAGCCCGATTGTGTTTTTTTTTTCAGGTTGTTCTGCGCCCTACCTCGACAGTCAGTTACGCCATGTTTGAATTTGCTACGAGCCAGTCGAACTGTGCTGAGAAGCTCATTTGCAAGAAATGTACGTCTATTCCTCATAGCACCACCTTTGGCATAATTTAGGACTTTGTCCGAAACCTCCCCTGATATGCTCAATTTTGATGGTTTAGGTTACGACAGTGGAGACGAAACGTGCTTCGGTTAAGTTGAAAAATGCTACACTCAAAGACTTAAAGGAGATATTTGCCTTGGCAGGACCATATAAGTGGAGAATTCTTCGTGAGCTTTTGACACAAGTTTCTGACAATATTTTTGAGGACTCGATGGTCATGTAACTGTTGAAACTTCCTTAGGTCGACCGCATAGGTCGGGCCCTACTCGAGTAGACAAGCCCAGGGGGAGGGAGGAGTTGTATTGCGCGCCGCTTTAAGGGAGTAGGGGTCGTATCTGGCCTAAAGAAAATTTCTTTGGTTGCTTACTTTTCGCGGTGATGCTTCCCCTGGCTGCAGCGCAGCCAAAGTTTGCACCATTGTTTAAGGTTGAATTTATTAGGTTGTCCGGAAAGTTCTCAGCGTTTTGTGTTACTATTTTTTGTACATTCATTGCTGATTAAAAACTCATTCTCCCTTGCGTCTCAGTAGTACATCCTGAAGAGAATTTTTTTGCGCTATCTGATGGTATATTGCCTTTTTCACTTATGTTGATAAACCCTTTCCCGGCTTTTGAAGCATGTCAAGAAGACAACTGTCGAACGATAATTTTCTCCAGCTACGGAAGTCGTGGGTAAATTCCGCGAAGGAGCATGGAAGACCGCAGATCGAGCAGCTTAAGGGCAAGAAATGTTGACAGGAAGGGTAGATGGAGGGCGTAGAGCAATTTAGAGAGAGAGGAAGGGCGCTGGGTGCCGGGCGAAAATAAGCTTTAAGGCGCAAAGTTTGCAATTTCTGGAGAAATGTTCAGCCTGTAATGATGAACGGCATAGCATTACGAAGCCAATATGGGGAGGGATTTCAGGGAGGGATCTATTGGAGGGCCCATCCAAAGCGTTTGAAGAGGGTCTGCGCAGAAGAAGCTAGGCGTTGGCAAAATCCTTGAATTAGGGAATCGGTCTGAAACTGAAAAGGCATATGAGGAAGAGTGAATAAAACGCCCGACAAGTGATGCCCCACACAATTTGAAGGACCGCAGAAATTGGCATGATCTCGAGGTATTCTCTACGTGCTTTTGCCGACAACAGAACCCGTATTTTCCAACCGAAATTGTCATCATGTGAGTGGAAAATATAGGAACATGTGTGATAACGGGAGAAGGGTATGGCCGGAAGGTGGGCTGGATGCGCAAACGAAAAGAACCGAGGCAATATTCCAAATCGGAATCCCACGAGAATAAAAGGATTATGGCCCACAGTGTGGAATGATACGGCTGGATTGTGATCCACTGTAAATTTTTTAATCACCAGAAACAACCATCCAGCAGAGTTCCTACCTTTGAAGAAACGAGAAAATTCACACGCAGTGACTACCATCAGGATGCAAGAGTCCTACGGTGACAGAAATCGACGAAGATCTTACGCTGGAATATAATAAAAGCGGCAGCAGGATTCTTGTGTATTGACAAGCTCCCCCGCCCACACATTTTCACAAAGTCATATCCGATAAATGAAGCAATTGGGGGTTGCCGTTCTACGCTCACCCGCCATATCTCATCCTTCCACCAACCGACGGCCTTATCGACCTTTTCAAAGCATTTTTCAAGGATTCCTTTATGCTGGAAAATACTTCTCAATCAGCGACTACGGCAAAAAAAAAGCCTTAGTGGATTCTCTACCACCCAGATTTTTCTCCTTGATGGGATCTCTCGACTGCTGTCACTTTGGCAAAAGTGTGTTGATTCGAACGGTGCTTTATTGTCGATGAATCCATCAGTATTCCACAAAGTCTATGATCGTTTAAGTGAAACACTCAAAACGCTGAGAACTCTTTCCGGACAACCTAATAGTATTTGGTGACGACCCCCCCCCCTCGCTCTCGCCCCGTGGGAGTCGTCACCAAACAAATACTAAATTCAACTTGGAAATAGTGGTTGCCGAATTCAACCACTCAACCATTAGAGGAGTCGTATAACAGGAGGACATTTTGGAAGAGACGTAACTTGCAAAGCTCTCCCCTCCCGTGATAGGATGTGCCCTGATTGAATACGCGGGCGCCAACGACTGATGAAGTGATTTTCTGTTTTTACATAGATCTTTATTACCCCTAATGTAAAAGTGATTTAGTTGGCCTATCGTTTCTCGGCGTAAGCAGTTCAATTTTCCTGTTAACACCCAGAGTGTTAGGAAAATTGATTGATGAGTTTGATGAAACGAAAAGATCAGCCCCAGGAGAGGAGGATTTGTCACTCCGGATAGCCAAGTAGGTTTTTCTTCCTTTGTACTTATACTTTTGTCGTGCTTGTCTTGTGTTCGTGTTTTTTTTAATGTTTGGTTGTGAAAAATGACATTTCGCTGCTGATGAACGGTGTGTCAGCCGGATGTTTTTGGCGCGGCTCCAGACCCGTTCTTCTCCTGTTGTTGGAGCGGGCAAGTGAGCAGTTGGCGGAAAATGACTAATGTGGATCATATTTACGGTTTTGTCGCTTGCTCGCTTCAACAACTTGTGAACGGGCAGGGCGCCAGGCCAAACCCGACTTGTCTGGCACGGCCCTTCATCCGCAGCGTAACTGACTGTGAATGGGTTATCAGAATAATGCTTAATTAACTGCAGCTCAAGAAGCTTTCAGGTTCTTCAAAAACAATCCCCTTGCATTGGTTGGCGTACTGTTTGTAGGTGCTGCTGCTATAGCTGCAAGGGTTTACTGCATGCATACAGCCGGTACTTTATCGTGGTTTTCATTTTCTTTCTTATTACGTGTAAACCATGCTTTTTGAAAATTTCATGTTCTAGGCCAACTCATCATTAATGATCTTCGGAAGAATGTATTCAATTCAGTTTTGCGCCAGGACATTGCCTTTTTCGATAAAAACAAGGTAATTTTTGACATGTTCCGGTAATTCCCCATTTTTTCAAACCATCTTCTATTAATTATGGTGTGATTTACAGGTGGGAGAAATCGTCTCTCGACTGTCAACTGACGCCCTCATTGTGGGCTATTCGGTGTCGATGAACTTGAGCGATGGTGCAAGGGCTCTGTTGACTTGTTTAGGATCTGGTGGTCTGATGGTAAAAGTTCTTCCCATCCCATTACTCTATTTTTATGAACAGATTACGGAGGAACATTGATCTATTCAGTCGTAGGTTCATGGCGTTGATTCCTGCTTCAACAGATTTTTCTTAGATATATACTTCTCCTGCTCTCTGCCAAGTGATGTTTGTTGTGATTCCAATAATGGTCGGAACATTCGCCGTTTTTGGTAGGCTGCAACGGAAGTATACGCTGCAAATGCAGGAGGCTGTTGCTGGAGCTAACCAGGTGAGCTAGAGCTATGGAACTCCAAGCTGCAGCGAGCAAATTTGATTTCTGCGCAGCTCGCCTACGGGGAAGGGAATTTTGCACTTTTTCTATTTCCAATCGACGTGTCGTCGAGCCATCGAGTGAGTACCTGTGGAATCTTTCGAAGCCACGAAATAATACCAGCTAAACTTTGTAGAGACCACCTCTCAGCTCTTATAAGCAATGAAATACCATATAAATAACATCTATCATACCGTGGTGGCTCGACGAGCTTGCTTCAGCTTCACGAGTGTTCACAAGTTATACCAGAATGAGACTTGCTAGTGAACAGCGGAAGTCCAAAATGCCCCTCCACGCTGCCAAGTTGCACCCTTTTTTTCTGGGATACCATAACTTGTATCAAGAAACGGTTGTCATCTTTTTTTTTCGAAACGTGCAATGGTTAAGGTGATTGGTCGTTCATACTTCTGAAGTCTCTAACAGAGGTAGTGCTCGTCGACTTTGTCTAGTCGTAACATTTATATGCTTAGCACTTAGACTTTATCGACATCTGGAGATCGCCTTCTCTGAAACTGCCGAGTGCACATGCTTTGGAAAATGGATGAAAGCATTTTCCAATTTTCATTTGAGTGGTTCCCTCCTTTGCCCGAATTTCGACAACATTTCGAAACACTCGTAATGGCAGTTCGCGGTATATCTACTTGTGTTCACGTCAGCCATCAGAATTCAGAAGCGATAAGAAAAGATAAAAAGGTCCCTCAACTAACTAAGAATCAACGTTTAGAAAAAGAAGGCAAAGCAACGAAAAACATTAGAAGCGTAAATTTAGAAGAGGTATGCTGTCTTGCCGCGAGGCTTCGATGGCCGTGACTGCGAAAAAAAAACTAGTGAGAATAGCTCAGCAATGCCACACCTGTTGCTGAATTGAAAAAGTAACATGAGTGCACGATTATTGAGGAAGTTACTCTCTTAATGCAGCAGCACGTTTACCTACGGCTCGGCGTCTGTCGAGCGGTAGCTCAAGCGGAGTATGGAGTCAGCATTGAAGTATCACTACCCTTCAGCACCTCTCCCATACACTTGCAAACGGAGAAACTAGCATGCTACTACAGCTGTGGACCCATTTTCCCCACAAGTGACAAGCACGAGGATCAGCGGAGATCTTACCGCGGAAGTTCGCCAACTTACCATGGAACTTTGAATGGAGACCTGGGTAGATGGATAGACTCTATAAGGTTTTTACAAATATAGATAGCAAAACTGCAACCTGCATTTCACAAGCAACATGAGCAGGTAAAGTTTGTAATGGTGCAGTAGGGTGGAGGCTTGGTGGTGAGCTGTGAAGCATAAGGCCGCGTTCATACCGTGCGACGTCGACGTCAACGTCGACGAAAGCTGCGTAAGCTGCGTAAGTTGCGTAAGCTGCGACTGGTTCGTGAATAATACATACGTATCGAAAGCTGCGTAAGTTGCGTAAGCTGCGTAAGTTGCGTAAGCTGCGTAAGTTGCGTAACCGACGACAGCTAACCGATCGATACGTATCTATTCTTCTCGAAGTTGTCGTCGGTTACGCAACTTACGCAGCTTACGCAAATTACGCATTACGCAGCTTACGCAACTTACGCAGCTTACGCAACTTACGCAGCTTACGAACTTACGCAACTTACGCAGCTTTCTTTGGATCGATACGTATGTGTTCTTCAGTCGCAACTTACGCAGCTTACGCAACTTACGCAAAAGACGTCGCACGGTATGAACGCGGCCTTAAGCGAGAATCGCGCTCAGTCGGCTGACGCTGCCTCCGACAATCCGCAATGGTGAGGACTGTACGTCCAATCAAGTCGTCGAACGTCGAACCTTACCACTGAACCACCACGACTCGATTCGACGTATGCGATTCCTCGCTTATGCTTCACAGCTCACCACCAAGCCTCCACCCTACTGCACCATTACAAACTTTACCTGCTCATAAGTTGCTTGTGAAATGCAGGTTGCAGTTTTGCTATCTATATTTGTAAATAACCTTATAGACTCTATCGATCTACCCAGGTCTCCATTCAAAGTTCCATGGTAAGTTGGCGGACTTCCCTGGTGAGTTATTTTGGTAATTCTATTCGCCTAAATACTATTGCTTCACTGCTAACGTTATACAGGTTGCGACAGAACGATTGTCGAATGTTCGCACTGTTAGAATGCTGGTTGCTGAAAGGAAAGAGTTGGCCGCATATGGCGATAAAATCTTTGATATCTGGATGATATCGAGAAAAGAAGGTTTAGCTCGTGGTGCAATGTATGGATCGGTGAGGTCTTTTCAGTTTTTACTGCATCATTTAATCTATGTGTTCTGAGTGATCATGGATTCAGTTCCAATTCACGGGCTATATCGCACTTTCGACTGTGTTGTTCTACGGAAGTAACCTTATCAGTCAGGGATTGCTGACCTACGGTCTGCTAGTAGATCTCTTTGACTTTGTTCACTTCATTAGCTTTCCATTCTAATTCCTAGGTGATCTATCATCATTCTGCCTTTATGCTGTTCTTTGTGCTGCGAGTTTATCAAACATATCCGGTTTTTTCATCGAAATTATGAAGGTGATTTCTCTTTTCTTCGATTTCATCGTGATATTTGCTAGCAAATTCGGGTTTTTCAGGGATTGGGTGCTAGTTCAAGACTGTTTGAGCTACGTAACACGCAACCGCGTATTCCTCTCGAAGGCGGCATACAAAAGTCGAATGTTGAGGATGCAATCAGGTAAGCTGTAGTTTTGTGTGTTTTTGTTGCTATTATTTTAGAGCCCTTGGAAATATCCCTGCACAGTAGTACTACGAGGCTGCAATCACCCAACGAAGTCGTTAAGCAGCGTTCAGACGTTGCGAGGGCGCGCTATCACTACAAGGGGCCCAGTGCTATGGACACGAGCGCATCGCAGACGAATGTTTTTCGGCGATAGGCTAACGTTTAGTGGTATAGGATGACAAGGGGGTAGGAGCTGCCTTCACACGATCTGGTACCCGCCTATTCCTCTACACTCTTTCAAAGCACTAGCGGCCAGTGCCTATCGACCCGCCGACGTGTGTTAGGCTGCGGTGATACTTTGCGTCACCTCCACGGACGACTAACAGCGTGTCGAGCGTGTAGGAAAGTATGGGGATCGATCTAGCGAACGCCAGCGTCCGTCAGCGTACAGCAGCGTTTTCGCGACACTTCTGAACTCGAACGAAACTGCCTGCAAAAACGCTGCTGTACCCTGGTGGACGCTGGCGTTGGCTAGGTTGATATTCATACTCTCCTACTCGCTGGGGACGCTGGTGGACGCTGACGCAAAGTATAAACGAGCCTCACAGCACGTCGACGCGCGTCGTGAAGTCTGAAGCTGTCTAATGGTGAAGATTTGGTATGCGAAAATAACTATGAAAATAAGCGTAGACAAAATGAAATGAAAAGGAACAAAGGGGTATTCCCACTTGCTTGGATAGGTGAGCAGCGTAAATGGAACAAAAAAAACTGTCCGGGGGGGGTATATTCTGAGCATAAGACGCGTCACGATGGTCAAATATGACGTTTTGTGGTATGTTATTGCCATGCGTCATCGCACGACATGATGTTATCATTAATTCTAGCTTTATTGTGTGTGTGTGTGTGTGTGTGTGTGTGTGTGTGTCAGGACATGTAACACGTTGTGATCGTCCGATGATAGATGATAGCGGCCCCTTAGTACTACTGAGGGAACTGTTCGTCAGAATCGTTTTCCACCTGCGCAGCATTTCTACATTGTACTTGTTCGATTGTATGTAACTCTCACAAAAACATGGTAGTCTCACATAGGTTTGACCGAGTGGTATTCGCGTATCCTGGACGGGATCCTCTCTTCCACAATATTTCGTTCACAGTTCCAGCTGGTCAAATCACAGCGCTCGTGGGATCATCCGGTAGCGGCAAGTCAACCGTTGCAAATCTTCTGTTGAGGTAAGTGGATAATTCAGAGGTTCATTTTCCTCGAACTAATGGGTTATATTGGCTATTGAAGAGCTTTTTGAGTTATTTTTTTCTTACTCCTTGGTAGTTAGGATGGACCCGCTGTATATCGAGGGTGTAATCTTTGTTGAGCATTGGTACTGAGCAAGGTTTTCAAGTAACTGAGGGCATGGTCTTCATATTAATCTTTCTCTCCCCGGCAGCTTTTATGCTCGAGTCGGAATGGAAGAGGGAATGTGGCGCCGTTGTGGAAGTGCCTACGCTCCGCGACAAAATAGTCCCCCATAATCCGAAAATGTAGAAGTAAATAAGAAATGTATTACTGGCGGGAAGGGCTTGACCTCTGGTATTATTAGTCGTTATTAGAATTTAACAAGTTCCTCAAGGAAGGTTGAAATTGAAGTTTTGAACAGCAAGTATTTTGAATGCGAGCGATGTGGCACTGTTTTTCCTCCAGCCAGCAAGGCGAACTCATATTTTAGGTTTGCCACCTTTGTGAGGAATTTTGGTGGGAAGGTTTGGTTCTGAGACGTCGCGTGCTTTCCCTTTATTTCTCAACTCTCACAAGCACCTTATTGGCTTCTGGGAAACTTTAATTATTTACCTCTTTCTTTTGGCGAATGTTGCTTACGTAAATAGCGTCTGTTTGCTGAGTAACGTGAAGTGCAAGCTCCATTCACAGCTGCAGTAGTACGTGGTGCATTTTCAGCGAACGAAAAAGGACACGTGCTACGAAGAAAAGGGGAAGAAGTGAAGTCTCTGGAGTTCTCGAATGAAAGAGTAGGACCTGCCAACATGAAGAAGAATCAGGGTTTCAAAAGTTAAGCATCCACAAAGGGAGGGTAAACGAAATTTGGAATTTCCACCTTCATGCCCAAAACAGAAGGTCCATCGCAAATATATTTTTTCGAAGTGAATTTCTTCAAAATCTATATGATCCCAAACCTAGCCCTACGTGGAGGAAATTTTCGCATGTTGTCATAGATATTTGGCGTTTTACAGTCGGCAAAGCAATTTCGGTCTCTTGTTTTTTTTTCGCTGTCTATTCACCAGAAAAGCACGAGGTCTCGAAAAAGCTCAGAATACTCGTTTTTTCATAGTTTCTTCATCTCAGAGAACAGTTTCGGAAATTGCTTCCAACTTTGTTATCAAACGTTGATTTTTTTCCGAGAATGACCCCAGGCGGAAGTGCAACCCGGCTTGAAGTCCCGTCTGAGGAAAAGGCTTTCTCAAATTACTCACCATCAGCATTCTAATGATAATTCAGAGCTCCAAGTGCTGAACAGTGCGTTGAACAGCATAAACCATGATAAAGTAATCTCTAGAAAAAAAAGCTGGTATTCGAAATTTAGCTCAATTATTATGTAGAGAACGCGTAAAGCATACTAACTCACCA